ATATATATAGGTTTGAAAGTGACTGGGTATCAGGCCTTTTCATGTTAATTTTTCCTAAATTTGGCTTATTCTTCCATTTCAGCTACATTTCAGCTGTTTTTCAGCAAAAGAAGCATTCACACTGCATTTTCGCAGGAAATGCAATTTCTCTAGTTTAAATTGATTTAAGAAACATTCACTGTGAATTCACGCCAAGTTTTGAGAGAATGCACTTTCTAATTTGTAAAGCAGGTAAAGAGCTGACGGCGTGACGACTCCTGCGCATTTAAATTAGACGTCATGTGGAGTTGTTTTTACTTTAGGTAGAACTTTCTGAGTGAATACAGCCGAGTTAAACAGTAATCGGCGGTTTAGTTAGAAAATGAAGTTTACAAATATATTATAACAAGACTGAGTCAACTTACAACAACTAACTTACTTGATTGCATTTTCCTTTTTTCTTTAGTTATTTGGTTTTGTCATTTTTTATACAATGATGCATACGCCAGATCAGATTGTAAACAGTTTTCACACAAGACAATAAAATTCAAAACAATTAGCGTCCTTTCAAACAACGAGGGAGAATTTGTCACTTTATTCCCTGGACTCTCTTCTTGCGTGAACGACAGATCTTATTTTGCAAGCAGAATAAATACGATGGTAACTTTTTACTCCAGCTTTTGTAAATATGGATTCAGTCCAGTTTGTCTAGATTGTTGATTTGTCCGACATGCTCTACATGGACAAACCCAAAGAGACCTTTAAGGCCTGCAAATGAAAAAGTTCTTGCTTTCCTCACCCAACGTTTGTGCTTCATTTAGTAGAAAAGTCATTTCTGTCTAAAAAAAAATCTCTTCCACATCGCTGTCATCTTTAGACCAACTTTAGAGGTCCGAACGGATGTGTGTGATTTAACAGCAGATGAGAAGTGAAGAATATTATTCTGTATACCATGCATGCATTTTCATATTGAGCTGAATATAAATATAAACGTAACAGTCTGAATGTGTTTTCTGCGTTGCTGTTAGCAGTCATCGTCCTCGAAGTGTGTTTTCTGCAGAACCTTTACGTGACGCTCGTAGATCTTGAGGGCGGGGCCAAGTTTGATAGACAGGCCGGTCAAAACGTCGTTGCGCTGCATGAGGAGGAGAGACTTCCCATCGATTTCCTGATGAGAAAGCAAAGCAGTGATCTGGAGGAAAGCTGAAACTTTGGAAGTTAAAAAAAAAAAAATCTGCAGCGCCCTCTAGTGGTGGTTGAGCAGATGACAGGCTCACCTGCAGCCTGAAGGCCGTCGCCTGCTCAGGAAAACCTGCAGCTGTGAAATAACGGACCACGTCAGACACGGTCCAGTCCACTGGGCTCCCTCTGATGCCTTCGGACTTCAGAAGTCTAAGGAAAAAAGAGGAAGTAGGATTGTTACAAAAATGAACAGGAGACATTAAAGTTTAGTGTTTAATTAGAGCTTTTTGCTACAAATACATTTAATGCAATCTTCATTGTCTCCTGTTTAAAATGACTGTCATCGTTTGGTCTGACACATAACGAGGTCTAAAAGACACAAAATCAGACAATTATATCTCAGACAGGAAGCCAGCTGGTCATGTCATCGCTACGTCATTAGGAGCATAAATACGATGACATTTTTAAAGTTGTATTAAACTCTCTAATCATTGTGGGAATGTTTTTCACTCCATAGTGATCCATTTTTCTTCCGTACATTTTTCGGTGTGATTCTCATCCTGCAGTTTTCGAGCTATTTCAACAAATCATTTATCAAAACGTTCAGCTCTTTCAGGACAATCCTGATAGTGACTTTTGGTATTGGTGCAACTTTAGCTTTTTGAAATGTTTAGCCTTTTCTGCCACTTTATCCTCATAGAAAATGAACTGAGCTCATTTTGCATCCTTCATATCTTTAGATCTGTTTACAACCTTTTACTGCTCCTTTCACATTTTGTTCTGGTTCAGCTTCTTTCAGCTTCCTTGAGCAAAAAAAAATAATAATAAAAAAAAAATCAGCTACTTTCAGCTGTTTTTTCAGCTGCTTTGTGCTCTTTTCAGCTTTATTCTGCTAATTACAACATTTTTGTGCTTCTTCTAACTTCTTTCTGCTCATTTCAGCTTGTTATGCTCCTTTCAGCTGATTTCTGCAAGTATCAGCTTTTTATACTACCAGTATTTCAGCTACTATATAACTGTTTTATGCTAATTTTAGCTTTTTCAGCTAATTCCAAATTTTTGCACTAATTTTAATTTCTTTCAGCTTACTTCAGCAAAAATATGCTCTTTCCACTTAGTAATTTCAGCGTCTTTCGGCTTTTTTAGCTACTGTTCAACTGTTTTTTTTTTTCCTAATTGCAGCTTTTTCCCCAGATAACTTCCACTTTTTGTGCTCATTTCTGATTCTTTCAGCAAACGTGTTCTTTCTGCAATCTTCTGCCAGTTTAAGCATGTTCTACCTTTTTCAGCTATCTTTTTAGATTTTTTGAAGCTAATTTCAACTGTTTTCAGATAAACTCAAGTTTTTCTTGGTAATTTCTGCTACTTTCAGCCTAATTAACTTATTTCTGCTAATTTCAGCTTGTTAGGCTCCTTTCAGCAGATTTTTGCTAGTTTCAGCTTTAGCTGTTATTTCAGCTACTATTTAACTGTTTTATGCACATTTTAGCCTTTTCAGCTAATTCCACATTTTCTGAGCTCATTTCAGCTCTTGCCACTTCCTTTTGGTAGTTTAAGCTTCTTTCTGCCTTTTCAGCTACTTTCCAGCAGGTTTTTTGTGTGTGCTCATTTCAGCTGTTTTAAGCTAATTTCCTCATTTTTGTGCTCATTTCTGCTTATTTAAACTTAATTCAACAAATATGTGTTCTTTCTGCTTTATTCTCCTAATTTAGGCTTGTTCTTTTATTTCAGCTACATTTCAGAAATGTTTTTAGCTAATTTCAGCTGTTTTTCAGCAAGTTCTTCTAAAATAAGCATTCACGCTGCATTTTCACAAGAAATGTAATTTCTCTAGTTACTTTAGTAATCAGACTCGTCAGGTGCTCAGTGACGTTGTGGAGAGATGTTTAACGTGCCTTTATGTAAATTATCTTTGGGAGACGTCACTTTTTCCATAAGAAGTTCATATGAAGTTTAATGACAGACGCTAAATTGAACCAAAATATTAATATAATTTGAGATCGAAACTAATAAAGATTAGATTAGCGGTGCTTTGGTGTTAGCTCTTTCATTTATTTCATTAAAAATGTAATTTGAACACTAAACTTGAGAGTTTGTTTTGTTTGTTGTGGCCACCCCCTTTGTCTTTCAGCAACTTTATTACGAAACTGACTTTTCAAAATACAACCCGTTGTTTATCAAATGAGAAAATAATTAAAGAAAACAGAGTACTAGTATACAGTGAAAATATTAATATTTTTCATGGAGAGCACAGCTGTGCTAAGGAGGGGTAAACAGATGTGTAGCTGTTTGGCGTGATAAGATTATTAGTAATGTTGTAGTTCTACTATAGTCTTCAATAAATATGACCCATGCTCGGAAAATGAGCAACAATGAGGATTTTCTCTATATTGAGGTATTATTATTATTATTTTCAAATTCTTCATTTCAAAAGCTTCAAAAATCATAAGTAGATTGTTATAATTTAGCGATTTATCACCTGGCCTGGCAACAAGTTTTTTTCACACGAGTGGACTGGACCTTTATTGGTCTGGACTGGCGTCATCAGGAATTAAAGCCATCTCTTTAAAAAGGGAATCCCCAAGTGCCACCAAACAGTATACGTAGGGATTTCCCAACGTTATGGCTGCCTGCAGAAAAAAACGGTTTAAAGGAAATTAAAAAGTTCATAAGACAATAGGATAATGACATTATCTGTTAGAAAACTTGAATTTAAAGGTGGATTAGGAGAATATATGCTGGTTTTGTTACCGACATCGCTAGACGGCGTCTTTTTGGACTCATTTTTCATCCATCCATCTATCCATTATCTTTTACCTGCTTCTTCCTTTTGCAGCAAAGATCAAACTTTTTTACATCTTTTGCACTGCAGCCTGCGCTCAGTCTGACTCGTTTCACCTGGTCACATGATCTGATGTGTTGTAAACTTGTTTAATAACATTTATAAGCACCTTTCAGATTAATAATATGAAATGATGGCTGTGTCGTTAACAGTCAGGAATTTTTAAAGACTCGTTTCAGCGTGGATTTTGTACTTTTGCACTCCTTACATGTAAAGAAGTGATATTTAGCGTAGCATTTTTACTACAGGTTTACTTGTGGTTCCTAGAGTTTCCAAAAGCAGAATGTTATCAGGCTCCTCTATTGTGGAACCAACTTCCAGTTTCTGTCCGTGAGGCTGACACCGTGTCTACTTTTAGGATTAGGCTCAAGTCTTTCCTTTTTAATAAATCCTATAGTCAGGGTTGGCTTGGGTTTCCTGAGCTATCCCTTAGTTATGCTGCTATAGGCTTAGACTGTTGGAGAACAAATTGACCAGATTTCCTCAAATGAATAGTTTGCATTTGTAATTATTTCTATCTTAATGTGTTTTACATTTATGAGAATGAACCTTGAATTCAAAATATTGAAGGTTGTAAATATAATATTTTAGCATAATGTTGACCAAAACAACCAGATTGCATTGCTGCACCATGTGTTGAGGTACCACACCTTAAAAAAATGATACATTTTGAATATAGGACTGATAAAACGTGTAAAAAGTTTAGTTCAGAGTTGTGAAAAGGTTTGTTGTGAAATACAATTTACTGCAACTGGTTTTGTTTTATGTAAAAAAAAAACGACACAAAAAAAAGGCCCAAAGACAAAATCACGTCGTTTTCTTACGAGTTAAGAGAAAGAAATTTGACATTCCCTGTGTGTACAGCAAGTGTATACATTTCAACTACCGTATTTTTTGGACTATAAGGCGCATTAAGCGAAACAAAACAGTCAGATAAGTCAAACTTTATTCAACTCATTCACAATAACCACATAAAATTGGTTCGAGGTCAATAAGCACAACCAGAATTAATACATAAGGTGCACCTGATTATAAGGCTCACTGTCGATTTTTGAGAAAATTAAAGGATTTTACGTGCACCTTGTAGTCTGAAAAATACGGTAATTTTTTGTACAACTCACTGACTTCTGTTTTGTTGTGAACACCATGAGGAGAAAAAAAACAGTAAAACATGATCAATATGAATATTTTGTTTCAAAATGTTTTGTTGCACAGTGATGTCATCGCATGCAGAAAAGGTCATTAAACTTGGTATTTTCATAAACTTTGGGTCAAACCCGTCATCTGTCTGCGACCAAACAAAATGTTTATATTTTTGTTTATATGTTATGCATTTCATTCACATTACCTCCGATTTCCCGTTAATTCCCACCAATTCCAAATTGGAATATTTCCTAAGTTTTCCAGCTTAAAGTTCCTGGAAATTCAGAAATTTTCAAAAATATTTTGTTTCTTTGACATAAAAAAAAGTCAATTTACATCCATATTTTCTGATTTTTGAAAAAAAAAAAGGATGTTTCCCGCCTTTGCTGTACTCACCCTCCACTGCCGTCAATACCTTGCTCTTCAAACACGCCCGAGTCCCTCGGGGACGCGGTGGGCGTAAGCATGCAGGAAGACACACCGACCTCTGTCTTACACTGCAAGCCTAAAGCAGAAATATTTGTCATCAGCACCAAACACCATCACAAATCCACACTGGTTTTGAAAATCTTGGAACAGAACTCACTGTTGAGGCTTGAGGACGTGTGGTTTGTGCCGTCGTGCTGCGCGGGACTCTGGAGGTGAAAGACAAACGGTCAAAGTGAATGCAGAGACAGAGCTGATAATAGTCAGAGAGGTACACCCTCAGTCTGGAGTGAAGGACGATGGAGGGTGGCTGCGCCCAGAAGCGTTAAGACAGAACTGCAGCAGGAGCGTGAATGATGAGGTGGAAGGTACGAAGTGCAGCGGTGGGTAAGTTTGCCAAAAAGGATGAGTCACCTCCAGTCGAGTGCTGAAGTGTCTTAAACACTCAGAACCTTTTCACAGTCCAGCAGGAATGTTCCTCTTGACTTTCTCCAAAGTAAACCACTCCTCTGGGTGATAAACAGTCACACTGACCACATACTCTAACAGGTTTATTTGTCATATGCAGATGGACACAAGGTCAACAATGCAACGAAATGCTCAGGACGAGAAGAACTGTCTCGACTCGCCAAAAAAACAACAGCAAATATCAAAGCACGCAACAAAAAATACAAAAACAAGGCGCCAAAGGTGAAAAAAAATACATCTACAGCAGCATGGTCCTGTTAGCAGAGTGTCAAAGTTCATGCTCAATCATCCAGGTACAAAATCCAGTCATGGTCAGTCAGGTCATCTGGACAGTTTCTTTTTTGTGGAAAGACGTTTCGCCCTCTATCCGGAGGGCTTCATCAGTCTGAGGAGTCCCAAATAAACTGTTTTCCCACTAAGCAGTGCACTCTTTTAGTGGACCAACCAGTTTGCTGGTGGTAAGATGGTCTTTGGGCCCGTTGACTCCTCCTAGAGCTGTCATTTCTATCCCAAAACCGTTATAATGTGATTAATGTGTGGGCCAAAGAGACAATCTTAGCACCAACATAACTGGTTTGTTCCACTTCGGAGTAAGCTGTTGGAGGAGGAATCAGTTTTGTTGTGTGTTTCCTTGACTGAAGAAGCCTTTTGGATCGAAGGCAAAACGTTTCAGCACAAAAAAAGAAACTGTCCAGATGACCTGACTGAAAAATGTTGGATTGTATACCTGGATTATTGAGCATGGACTTTGTTGTTAGCAGTGTGGTTCTGTTAGCAGTATGGTTCTGTTAGCAGTGTGGTTCTGTTAGCAGTGTGGTTCTGTTAGCAGTTTGGTTATTTTAGCAGTGTGGTTCTGTTAGCAGTTTGGTTTTGTTAGCAGTTTGGTTCTGTTAGCGGTGTGGTTCTGTTAGCGGTGTGGTTCTGTTAGCGGTGTGGTTCTGTTAGCAGTGTGGTTCTGTTAGCAGTGTGGTTCTGTTAACAGTGTGGTTCTCTTAGCAGTGTAGTTCTGTTAACAGTGTGGTTTTGTTAGCAGTGTGGTTCTGTTAGCGGTGTGGTTCTGTTAGCGGTGTGGTTCTGTTAGCAGTGTGGTTCTGTTAGC